GTTAGACATATTAGGTAGAATATCATAACCCTTTAAAAAATAATTTAATTTAAGTACCTGTAATTAATATATAAGACAGGTTTATATCTGTTTGTAATTATTTGTAATTTTCTAACCATGGCGATCGTACTAAAAAAAAATGATTTGTGCTCCATTTTATTTGAACACTCTTCAGCTCCTTTTCAAGATAAAGTGAACTTCTTATTGAAATATATTGAAACTGCACATAAAAATAAAGTGGATAAAACTGATATATGTAAAATTGAAAATTTTATAAAATCAGTTGATATAAAACTGAAGAGTGTTCGGTATTCCATTGCTAAATTTCGATCGAAATTTTCTAATTGGCTGGATGAATGTGTAGAAGTTGCTATTTGCGTATCAACTGTTGGTGCTCCCTGTAAGCAGTATGAGGATTTGAGCTCAAAATCTAAGAGGAAAAGGTTATCAACTTCACTAGAAACCTTATCTAACGAAGAAGTTTCGGACACTTTTAAAGCAATGTTAAGAAAAGAAAAACAGCCTTTGGATGCCATAAAAATTGCAAATATTCTTCCAACCGCATCACCAAGACGACTGAAAAGAATTGTAAAGAGTATACCCACACCATCATCTGATACAACGTTCACTGAGGAAGAAGCTATTGCGCTTATGTTGCAGCTGGAATTAAGTCGTGATAACTACATAACGTTAAGAAAGGCGCTATCTGAAAAAGGAGTGGATGTTTTACCATCATATGACAAAATAAATGAAAAGAAGAAAAGCATTATACCACCTCCTATTGAAATAACTGATCGGAAGGCTGTTATTGGACTCGGCGCTCTACTCGAAAATACTGCTTTAAGGATTGCTTCTGACTTTTCTTCAGACCAACTAAAAAAAATAAATTCTTGTGATCTTCAACTCATTTGTAAGTGGGGATGTGATGGATTATCAGCACTCTCGGAATATAAACAAATCAACACAATTGAATCATCTTCCGAGTATAAAAGTGTATTTATGGCATCGCTAGTTCCATTAAGAATTCGAAAGTATGCTGACAGCGATTCTCCATCAACCAGTTTCGATGATATTTGGAAGAATTCGACTCCAGGATCCAAAGCTTTTTGTAGGCCAATAAGCTTTGAGTATATAAAGGAATCCAAAACAACAACGCAAGATTTGATAAATCGTATTGAAGCAGAAATTAAAAACTTGGAACCTATAACAATCGAAATAGAAAATTATTCGTTTAACATGTCCTATGATTTAAAACTTACAATGATTGATGGGAAAGTTGGAAATGCCATTACAGGAACATCATCTACTTGGTACTGCTACATATGTGGTGATAAAAAATCAGAATTTTCGAATATTTCCAAGCAAAGATCAATAAATGAGGAAACATTACAATTTGGAATATCCCCCCTACATGCTCGCATACGATTTCTGGAACATTTTCTACATTTAGCATATGATTTAAAGTACAGAAGCATACCGGAAAATGCAAACAAAAGTGCAAATAACAATAAGGAGTTAATGGAAATGAGAGCCAGTGAGAAACGAAGAATTCAAGAGGAATTTAAAAAGCGGATGGGATTAAATATTGATAAACCACTCACAGGATATGGAAGCACAAACGATGGTAATACCGCTAGACGTTTTTTTAAACATTTTGAAACTACTTCCGAAATAACCGGAATTAGTATGGATTTACTGCAAAAGGTCAATATTATTCTAATGGCGATAAATAGCAAGCATAAAGTGAACGCAACAAAATTTGGAGAGTATTCTACAAAAGTTTCTAAATTACTTTTGGAATTATATCCCTGGAAAGAAATGACACCTACAGTTCACAAGATATTATGTCATGGAAAGGTCATCATAGAACATAATATTCTGCCTTTAGGAGAGCTTACAGAAGAACCCCAAGAATCGAGGAATAGAGACTTTAAGCATATTCATCAGTTTAGCTCAAGGAAGTGTTCTAGGCAGTCTCAAAATGAAGATATTTTTAATAATCTGATTCTATCTTCTGATCCTGTTTTATCTACTATAAGGAAACGTTGGATTTGCTACAAAACGTTAGCATTTGAAAATATTCATGAATTTAAAGATTTACTTTATCTTTTAGATATGGACTACTGTGATACCGATTATTTTACAAAATTATATTAATTTATAAAAAAAAATAAATAAAGACTATTTTTATATAAAATAAATACTTGTTAATTTTTTTTAGGGATAAAGAATAAAAGATTAATCGTAAAAAGTGGCTGTAAAAATTCATAAAAATTTAGGTAGTAAAACATGCCTAACAAATGTATGGATGAAAATAATAGTACTAGGTAAATTCTCTAAAAGATGTTGAGTTTTCCCTAATTAATTTGTCACTTAAAAAACATTAGGTAGGCATGTTATATATCAATGGAAAGGTAATTTTGTCTATTTTTCAAAACTGTATATAATTTTTGAAAATTAAAAAATTCGCGGAATACTTTTTTAAAAAAAATTAAAAAATGTTTTTTATTCAGTTTTTGCGAAGATACAAATTTTTCAAATTGCAATAAAAATTTTATTTATGAATATTTTTTGATGAAATTTTACAGTTAGGTAGATTTTTTTACTCAAAATCCAAAATTAAATAAAAATTTCGAATTTTCTTATTAGAAATCCCGGAATTCCCAAAAAAGTTTTAAAAAATCCCAAAAATGGGATTTTTTGGTTTTTTGCCTATTATATCCATACCAGGGGCGGGGTTATCGAAACCCGTTACAAAATGATTAAGAACATATTGGGTCATATAAAACAGGTCACTATAATTTGATATCGACTATGCGATTTGAGAATTTTTGCTCAAAATTGAATTTTATATAAAAAATAGGGTTTTTTTGGATGGATCTGGTCCCCTCGGTATCAAAAATTTTTAGGTTTTGTTTCATTTATCGTATTTTATGTAAAGTCAGCTTTTCAAAAAGTATAAATTCTATATACATCTTCTTAGAAACTTTTTAGATAACTTAAAAAGAAAAAGATACTTTTTTCCCCAAAAAATGGCAAAAAATCGCCTTTTTTTAATTTTTTAAATTAAAATGCCTATAACTTTGGACTCAGTCATGATTTTTACATAATTCTTTCACTGCTTGATATATAGACTTGTTGTTAAGCGAATAAAAAAAAATGGCGAAAATCGGGAATATTTGGACCCGCTATTATCAAAAAACTAAAGTAAGGACGGTAAAAATTTTAAAATTTTAATTTTCAAATGCGAATATCTCCTAAACTATAAGAGATAATTTACTGCTACGACGACATTTTTTATAGTGCTCGATGAGAAGATTCTATATACGAAATTTTTTTTAAATCGGAACTCAAATGAAGAAATAAGATCGTTTTAAAAATTTAACATAGCCGAGGTGTCCTAATTTGAGGACCCCCCGCCGGGCCCCTGGTTGGCCTATAAGGTCCAAATTCAAAACCTAAACTCGACAACACCTCCTTTTTGTGCATACCAAATTTCATTAAAATCGGATTAACCGTTTAGAAGTTACCGAATTATTTCCCTCTTTTTTTTTTCCTATACCACTGTGTTCTGTAGAAAACGAACGTGTTTTTTCGGTAGCTGGTAAATTTTTAACAAACACAATCGTAAACAAAACATTTGCAAGAGTAAACTTTTACAATCAAAAACGCATCGAATACCGCTCATATACATAAAATACCAATTTTGCGATTTTTGAAAATTTTCCAGACATAAGATTTATTGAATTTAGTTCATATTGAAATATCACCTTTATTTGACCTATGTATATAAACCTATGTGCCTATAAAAATTTATTAATAAATAAAATTAAATCCCGAAAAGACGGATGGACATTAGAATAGCCTTAAAAAATGTATAATTCCAAAAATTATTTTTTAACATAAAAATTAAAAAAACAAATATATTATTAATAAAAAATTAATATTACCCTCCCCTGAATTAAGAGCCATTTTCGACCCAATGTACCCTAATATGAGATAGCTTTTGCCCACCAATTTTGTAATACCCACACTACTATGGGTATAAATAGGTATGAACAAACATACATATATGTATGTATGTTCATACATAATTACCCTGCCAGCAACTCAACTAACTTTAAATGCATTAAAAGCCGACTTTTTCATCAACTAGTTATGGTTGATTCTTGGATTATTTTTAATGGAGCCAACTGACTATTTTAACATGGGGATCTACACAGTAGTCAATTGTCCGACTCTGCATGACTTTTCAACTAGCTTAATGTCAAGTAGTAATATTCTTTTGTATTCCTTACTGTATTAATAATTTACATTTTAATTAAATATACTACGTAAAATTAATTTACATTAATTAAATACATTTAAAATTTAACTATTTGTTATCTAAATTACACTTCCCTTTAATACCCCAGGAAAAACTTGCATTGAAAAGTAATGAGTTAAAAAGCTAATAAAACCACTTTTCACTACAGTGAACTCTCGATAATGTGAACTAATTAATGTCGGGGTAGTTCATATTTTCGAATTTGTTCACATTTTCGATTGTAATTTTTTTACATATATTACTAAGTTATTCTTTCTAAAAATCATTTCTGCTAGGAATGAAAATGCAAAGATTACTAAAAAAACTTTTTGTAATTTATTTGGAACATAAAAAGTTTTTCAAAATCCATTTTATAAAGAGTACATACGTAGTATGTACATAGTTAGTTAGGTGACCTCCGGTAGGTTAATGGCATCCGGTAGGTTAGTGGTTAGTGTTCTAGTCTGGTAGACCGGAGGTGTTGGGTTCGATTCCCACCTGAGGCACTGGTTAAGGAGCGCACAACAGGCCCGATAGAGGCCTAGGTGTATTTCTTCGGATTTGATGTATATACATCCACCTTTCAAACTAACTAATGTTGTTTTCAGGCGCTTCAATAAAACAGTCGTCATCATCGTCGGACCCTTCTATTAAATCATTTTCATAAAATTTTGATCCAATCTCTAATGTTTACAGCAGTAAATACTTCCTGAGGACACAATGTCTGTAGAAGATCTGCAGCAGTATTTTCTAAAGATCTAACCTCTGATTGCCACTTTTCTTTTAAAACGCTCAAAGGAACATTAAATTCAGGATCGTCTTCATCATTTACCATATTCAAAATATTTTTCCAACAGTTAGATAAAGCTTCTTTACCAACTCGGTTCCAGGATGCCTCTAGAATAGAAACTCCTTCTTTAAGTGTGATTTTTTTCATCGATTCAAGCAAATCCTCCTCGTTTGCAATAATTGTTGCCAGAAGACTGTTCCTATAATGAAGTTTGGTGATTCTAATTGCATTTTGATCCATTAGCTGGATCAGAGCCGTTACATTTGGAGGCATGAACATAGCTTCTATGGAACCATCCTCGGATTTAAGGTCGGATTCTGTTGGATGGGATGGGGCATTATCTATTAGGAGTAAAGCTTTTACTGGTAATCCTTTCTTCTTTAAAAAATCTGTCACCTTAATGAAAAATAAAACACTAAGAATCCCAATTGAACTATTTTTACATGTTTACTTACCTCTGGCACAAAACAGTTGTGAAACCATTCTTTAAAAATGGAAGAAGTCATCCAAGCAGACTTTGAATTTCTATAGTTTACGGGACAGATAAAATTTTTAAAACTGCGAGAATTTTTCGATTTTCCTATTACTAAAAGTTTTATTTTATGAGATCCTGACGCATTTGCGCAGCATAAAAATGTTATCCTTTGCTTTTCCATTTTTGCACCTGGAGCGCTTTTCTCCAATGACGTTACATATGTCTTTTGTGGGAGAAGTTTCCAATATAGACCAGACTCATCGGCATTATACAACTGATCATTGGATAAACCCAAATCTTCTATCTTTGCTTTCAATTTAATTTTAAAAGGATTTACGAACTGAGATTGTGCAGAAAGTTTTTCACCGCTCATCTGAAGGAGCCGAATTCCGTATCACTTTTTAAATTTTTGTAGCCACCCATCGCTAGCATTGAAGTCATTTCCTCTTTCACTTATGTTTTTGTGAATTTGTTTGGCTTTCTCTTTTAACATCAACCCACTTACAGTGAAGTTTTTATTCCGCATGCAAATAAACAACTTATAGAGCGATTTTTCCATTTTTGGAAGCTCTGAAGATCGTAATGTTTTGCGTTTTCCGGGTCCATAAAACGTATTGTTCACACATTTTAAAATATTGTCTTTTTATTGAACATATCGTTGATTTTGCAACTTTTTACTTAACACTGTAACACCCTATCCTTTTTTTAAATATTCCAAAATTCACGAACCTACCGGGGATTCCCAACATCAAAAATAAATGCTTCTACAAATTAAAAAATTCCCAAAAATTAAAAAAAATTGTTTCACTATTTAGAGCCATTAAACTTTGTTTGTTCACTATTTAGAGCGCCCATATAAAAAACTGAGTGTTCACATTTGTGGATAGTTCATTATATTGGATGTTCACAATACCGCGAGTTCACTGTACTTCTTTATTAGCATTTTAAGTCATTATTTTAACACTGTGATGTCATTGGAGGCAAGTACTTGCACACTCGCTTACAAATAGGGAGTTAAAGGAGTATTTGCAATTTCTCTTACAAAGAAGTTGCTTAGTAATTTGTTTTATATTTTAATAATAAAAAGAGCCAGCTAGAATAGGAACCAGGGTTCCTTAGTCAACTGTTCTAGTCATTGCACCAAATAATGGTTTTCACATACAAATTTAATTTTGTTTTCTTCTTTGTAAAACACAATTCTTTACAAGCAATTAATTAAAATGTGCAAAGAAAATGACAAAGCCTTAAATAAAGTACTTCTATATCAGATTATGAGAAAGTCATTACTAGAGTACTTCTAAGTAATGCAGACGATCAGAAGTAATCATTGAAAAGTAAGTGGTTATGGAAGTACAACCCATTACCAAGTTTTTGCTGAGACAAGTTATGGTAGTAGTTCGTTAAAATAAATAGACATCAGTTTTCTGCAGGGGAACTAATAATAACGGTATCCATAAAATTATACCGGAAATGAAAGTAGACCATCAGTAGACTAAAATCCCCAAAGGGTTTAAAAAAGTTAACTAGCGTTTTTAATGTGTAGGCATTTAAAGTTTTGCAATTTTGTGAAATAAAATTCCATATAGGTATATGTATTTTATATGTACACTATCGGACAAAATAAAGTGCAAAAGTACTCATGTATATTCTTTCAGTGAAAAATCGGTTAAATGATTATTGAATATGGAATTTTTTTCAAAATCATTTAGTTTATATACAATGCTACAAAAATAACAATAAAACTAAATTATTCTACTTAAAATTTTTCTGCATAACATCTAAAATTAAAATAAATTCACTTTTTTGTCGGACAAAATAAAGTGTAAATTTTATATATCGTTATTTAAATTTCTTGTATATCAAAATTTTTTATCTATTTTGGTTCTGATTTTAATATCTGTATCTATTTAAGCCATTTTGGTAATTTTGTTCTCCATTATTATTCGCAATCGCTTTCCCTTCCCCTTGCTATCCCCATATGATAATTTTCAAAAGAAATACGTTTTTGATCACTATTTCATCGGAATTTTTTGATAAATTTTGGTCCAAAATTAATCTATTGGATTTAGGGCGGTGCTCTGAGCAACTTATTTCAATTTTCAGTGATTTTTCCTACAGTAATGTTATTTTTTAACTTTATCAAGTGCTTAAGCTTATTATCTTGCCGAAATATAAAGTTGCCCAAGTCGAAGGCACTGATCTTAAGATTTCACTGCAATATGCTCATATAGTGTTCATTGGAGCTTTTTAAATAAATTTCACCTAGGTTCACCACACCTAACGTTAAAAATTGGACACTTACGAAGAGTCAACTGACCCATACCTTCAATCTTTCACCAACATATTTAAAAGCTTAAAATTTTTTTTCCATTTTAGTATTTAATTTCATATTTTCGGTATTGTTACATTATTCAACTTTAAGAGCGAGAATCTTAGTGAAAATGGAGTAACTAATAACAAATGAGCAATTCACGAGCTTATTTAATAAAAATTTGGAAATAAATGCCGTAAAAATGGGTTTGGGAGACTTAATGCCTCAACCGATTCATGACTTCAAACACACGACTAAGGTTAAAAACATTATTGTAAAAAAAAAAAAACACTGAAAAATTTGAATGACCTGCTCAGAGCATCGCCCTAAATCTAATAGATTAATATTTGACCACAATTGATCACAAAATTCCGCTGAAATAGCGAACAAAAACGGATTTCTTTTGAAAATAATAGTATGGGAGAAAGCAAGGGAAAGTGAAAGCGATTGCGAATAATAATGGTAAAATAATTACAAAAATGACTTGAGTAGATCCAGATATTCAAATCAGAACCAAAATAGATAAAAAATTTTGATATACATAAAATTGAAATAATGATATATAAAATTTACACTTTATTTTGTCCGACAAAAAAGTGAATTTACTTTAATTTTAAATGTTATACAGAAAAATTTTAGGTGGAATAAATTTGTTTTATAGTTATTTTTGTAGCATTGTATATAAACTAAATGAATTTAAAAAAAGTTCCATATTCAATAATCATTTAACAGATTTTTCGATAAAATAATGTAGCATGAGCACTTTTGCACTTTATTTTGTCCGATAGTGTACATTGTAGTTAACTTATAGTCAGTGTGTAAAAGTAAACTGAAGTAAATGTTTCTCTTAGTCGACTACAAAATTGCTGGCAGAGTATACACATTGAAAATTATTTTACAAATGAGTTGCTAGCCTTGAACATTTTACACGAATTGTAAACATAACTTGTTAAGCTTCTTCAGTAGCGAATTTTATTCTTTATGTAATTTAAACACAGTTGTACTGTAGTCATAAAACGTAATTTAAACTATAAAACTTTAACTACATATTATCCATAATGTTAGCATGGAAATATTTGCATAAACATACAACCAACCTATTCAGGTATTAGGATTGGCAAATGAAATTTTTAAATACATAGTACAAAACAGCATTTAAAATTGTACAATTTGGAGTAAAATATTGTTTTTGGTTATATTTACATACATGTCAGGCGGGTGATAATTACATTTTCAATTACAATTGTCTTTGGAGTAATTGTAATTGAAGCTTTTGAAATTACTTGTAATTCTAATTAAATTTTTGCCAATTACAAATAATTGTAATTGATTATTGCTCAAGTACACATTACAATCAATTGTAATTGATGGCTTAATGTAATCACACAGAACCAAAAATTTACCTAAATACTGCAAAATGTGGTGTAAAGATGAAGAAATTTTGTTATACAGTCAACGAAATTATTATTCCATATTACAGATTTCTTCCTAAAATTTTAGTACCTATTTAGTAAATACACTCCCGCTCACTTAAACAGGTTCGCTGTTTTGTTCACATTCAAATTTTATAATTTTAGATAATAACATGATGTCTTAGGTATCACTAGTAAGACAAAAATTAGCGAAATACCTAATAGCTGATTTTTAGTAATTTTTTTTCTAACATACTACGTTTTTTAGCTATATTTTTTGGTTCACTTGATTAGGTTCATTCAGAATAAAATCAGTTTACTGCTGGCAGTGGAAAAAATCCATTCATATTCTGGTGTCTGTGAATATAGACATATATTTTTTAAAAAATAGGCCGCGGTAAGCCATTGACTGAAGAATAAAATGGCAAAATTTTAGCGTTTTTGGAAACTGTCCAAAATCACAGGAATTTGGAAAAAAAATTGGGCAAATTCAGAATGTTATTCGCAATTTTATAAGAAAACAGTCTGAATATTAAGAAAACATTAATAAACGTACATATGGAGTTATAACAAAAGAGGAAAGAAGAGATTTTATACAATCTGGCTCCAAGTCAAGTGATTCTGCAGCAAAAATTTAATAAAAAGTGGGTGTTACAGCAAGCCTAGGCTTTAACAATATTAAAGAATTCATAAAAGCCACTCCAATTGCCACTCGTAAAGAGAAATCCGCACGTGAACACATGGTTATAAAAAGCTATATCAACATCTTGTTTTTTTCGGATGAAAAAAATTTTTAATTTAGAAGGTTTAAGCAATATAATAATAATTTTTATGATTTTTGAAATTAAGAGCTCTACCCGAGTTATCTGCATAGCTGTGGAGGATGTTGGATGTATTGGGGGGCAATTTCGTATTATGAAACATGTGAGCTTCAATTTCTTTCATCTAGTAGGAATTGTAATAATTGTAATGCCATACTGGAAACAGTTTTTTTCACATTTTCGGATATCTTGAACCCTTGCCGTGGATATTTCAAAAATATAATGCCCCGATCCATACCGCCAGGGCTGTAAATGGATGGATTCGATGCCAGAATGTAAAAATTTTGGAGCAGCCTCAATAATCTTCTCATCTATTTATTATTGAAAATGTTTCGGATATTCTTTCTCGTAAAGTGTATAGGTCGGGCAGACAGTATGACACAAACGAAGCCTAAATTAAAGGAACTAAAAAGACTTGGACCGAAATTTCCTTGTCATTACTTAAAAATCTTAACAACTCTTTTTCACCTCGAATTTTCGAAGTTATCTCAAGTAACTCAAGTTACTCAATCTTTTCTAAAACCTTATAAAAATATTTATAAAAATAAAAAAATTTATTGATAAATGCACTTTGTTGTTTTTGTAAATAAAAGATGATGAACCTATTCAAATGAGCCAAAAAAATATTGTTCAAAAACGTCGTGTTTTAGAAAAAAAATATTAAAAATCGGTTATTAAGTATTGCACAAATGTTTGTCAATCTAGTGATACATAAGACATTATGCTATTAATTAAAATTTTAATAGTCTATTATTTCTTGCAAAAAATTAATTTGAATGTAAACAAAATAGTGAACCTATTTAAGTGAGCGGGAGTGTATGTATGTAGT